ACAAGGTTAGGCTAGAGAAAGAACAATATATTTAATATGAATAGAAGATATAAGGTAACATTCGGCAGAGACCACGCCTGCATGGCCGAGCCATGCCACTCGATCAACTCCAGACCATTCAACTCATTCTCCGCGCCTTCTCCATTGTTAGGTATTTCCCCGAGTTAAATATTGAATATCTATTTTCTGAGTAGTCTCGTGTTCACAGCTTTGTGGATTGTGTGGCTATTGTCCAATGCCACTACAAGTCACTGCTGAACAATCGATCGAATAGAACTGGTCTCACGAGCAATGCAGGTGAGGACTGGTGCCCAATAAGTCTCCTTATTGTCACCTTTCTTCCTTCCGCTAGATATTGGCTGGATGAAGTTGACCTCTGCATCTAAGGAAGAGCACTGCAATTAATGTATCCCTTAGAAACAGTCGATTGACCTGGATTTTGCAGGTGACTTAATTCTTTTATCTCATACATAGTAAGCAATCGAAAATAAGACAACTAGTGTAGCTGCAAATTTTTTAGAAGTAGGTAAGTTAGCGTACATAGGAGCAAATTAATATCTAAAAGTGTAACAGTGAAAACTAATCAAATCAAGCTTTATGACATATCTCTAAAGGTGATGAAAGCCTCTAAATTTCCACGTGGTAACATTGATAAATATGGAGAATCTCATTCAGATGTGAGGGCATAAACGAACGAAGAGAAGCCAGCCTATATATAGCTAGAAAGCGTCTGTTAATTAAAAGAACTGTCACTAAAGACATGTAGTGTTATTAGTCCTAACCACACAATCCTCGAAGCTGAAAATGAAGTGGCTAGGAAAATATTTAACATTTAACATGGTGAAAAGGCCAGCAATGATGAGCTAGGGATTATTCATTCAATAAATCGGATGGCATAGCTCAGCCTCGCAGACGTGGTCGTTCTGTATAATTTGCCCTTGCATGAAACGTATTACCCTATCTCTGGCCCAAATGTGGTCTCTATAAACATCGGACGCTATATTGCGGATTGTCGTGATACGACTAGTCACAATAGACATTGATGTGACTTCCACGTAAGGTCTTATAGATTGTGTATTCACATCACGACATATCTACAATTTTAGGATTAGATCCATAATTCAACAAACCAAGTTCAGGATTTTTAATGCCACTGTCGAAACGGTCCTAATGTAATGAGGTGGATCATGGTCACAACTACTCTCAAAAACGTGAAAAGAAATCAGATTTCTGTTGAGAAGTGGATATGGACTACTTTAAGGAAACTTAAACTTTATCACAAGCCAAGGAATAACTGAGAATAGTCAAGGTTAAAGGAAAAGAAGTGGTTCGAAAAAGATATAATGCCGGACATTGTAGGTAGATATTTAGCCGATGAATTTCTTTTGAAATAAACTGGAAACGTCTGCTTGTGACAAATTTGTTTAGAATTCCTTGATTGATGGTTGAATTCCATGATGGGTAGTAGGTCTAGTCGGTTAAAAGACAACTTTAGCACAGACATCAAACGTTACTCCTGAATGCTCTTATTCGCTTTTCACATACATTTATGTACGTTATTGTCCCGTTAAATTAAAGTGACAAAAAATCTGTTAGCTTTACGCTGCTTGAAGGTGATGTGACAGTGGAAACGAATGATGTTTCGACGGATGTAATCTGTGCCAACGACACTGAATAAACCGGTGAGAATGACTGAAGCGGTTATTGAACTTTATCGCGAAGTCATAAATGCATTGACAAACAGCTAGTATATTACTGAAAGCAATCTAAGAACTTGACATACATTACCGATATTTTGTCAATCAGACCCTGAAAATCTATAGAAATTGGGATGCTTATGGACGACAACCAATTTAAACGACTCTTAGATTAACAATAAAAAATGTATTGGTTTCAGGACGATAGCAACGTTAGAATACCTGGTTTTTCAAGGCGACCTGAGAGATTTTGATGTAGTATTACACTGTATGAGTGAACAAAATGGGTTTGTGACATTGTCTCATACTTATTTGCCAGATGACCAGAAAGCAGAAAGGTTTTGTGACCGTTACTCTTGGATTATAATCGATATCATTCAGTGATGATGGCCCTTAGCCTACTTCTCAACCCCAAAACGTAGTCTTACTTTTTGTTTCTAACTTGAAAACTTATTCCGAACTCTTACTCTAATTGATTTACCGACATCGCTTACTGTGAGAAACAATTCACTGAAAGGTTCACTATTTATCTTAAAACCCCCCTAAACCCTTGTGACTTCATCGTCTTTCGAACCATACAATACCTCATGCTATTCTGGGGTTGGTGGATGAAGTTCAGTCACCTCCACGATTTTGACCTTAAACCTGAAAACCAGTTAGGATGAAGCTGGAATTATTATTTGCGCTATTACAATCAATGATGGGCAGAACGTTCCGGTCTACGAGGTTTTCCGCTGGATCGTCAGTATCTCAGAAGTATTCGGAGTTTCTGTGTCTCCAACGATCGCAATTTATGCAGTCTTTTATGTTCACAAGAAATGTTGCCGCTGACTAGAATCCTTTACTGTATTAGCGCATACTTCATGTCGTGCTTATATGTTTTTTATTATTATGTTCCCAAACGAGTAACCAGGATAAGTTTTTTTCTAGCAGAAATAAAGGTGTTGTCACTCTGTGCTCATATATGCAAGTTTAATAAAGAGAAGCTTGAAGTATGTTATTGGTATGTCATGCATGGTTGTTGCTTCGGTGATAAAAAAAGCTGGAGAGCCATTTCCAGGATGGGCAACACGAACATTTCAGAGAGTCTCCCCTTTAATTCCTTCTTAGTTTCTTAAAAATTGTCCATTTTATTTTCCCTTTAATGTTTAGTCGTTCAAGGCACAGCCGTAAAAAATGACACCCTAAAACTTTCACTACTCACAGTGTCCACTACAGGCTTACGCGCAAGATTTTTGTACGATGGGGATATCTCGCCATCTTACTACGGATGTATTGAGTGTAGGGCAATCAGTTTTAGTGAATGAAACTTTATAACATAAAGAAAGTTACCCCTTCAATTTACTCTGTGATAGAAATTAATTCAAAGTATGTACGATTCAGTGGCTAAATGAGCGAAAACATGACTGTAATTACCGAGAACGAAACACTTTGATGACCTGACAGCGTGAAGTTTATCTCTACCCCAATATCGGCACGTAAGATATCTTAAAATTTCTTAGGTCATCAATATGGTTTATTTCTGTCGATCCTTCTTCATAAAATGTCAATAACTAGACACTACTAATTACTAAGAGCTTTCTTATATTTATTTGTTTATTACTAGCTGATTTTGTGTTCAGACATATACTGCAGTCTCAGCCGCTTTTTTTAAGGATGGTAGCAGTTATCGCTCCCTCATTGCCTTCCTTATTTCTAAAAGTTACGTTTACTAAAGGGTTTCTGAAATATCAAAAAATTATCGGAGGTTTCTATTCCCTCCTAACATTTGTGATTTCTATCCGATAAATTCAGACAAAGAGTTATTGGGACGACAGTTTTTGACTTAAGATCTTTTCGTACATTATGTTAGTCGATATTTATCATTTACTTTTCCAAAAAAAATTAGGAACAAATAGTCTGTGCTCAAAAGTAATGAACGTACGAACAAGTCGTCTTTTGTTCCTCCTTCCGATTTTTGATTATATGAGACAAAGGGCACCCCGGTGTTTTGTGAATTTCAAAAATTTTATATCTTAAAAAATAGATCAGTGCTACTGAATGGCATTTTTACAGTCGTAATAAGTGCGTTCATGGGGCAGAGCTGGATCAAATAGTCACAACTAACATTCTCCCTACCGTAATTCAAAAGACTGTCTTTAATGTTTTCTAACTTGGATTATTCCTCCTGCCTAATCATGAAGTAAGAATCACCATGACTACATGGAAGTTTTTTAATTGTGTCCCCATTATCAGTTATTTCGTTCGAATTGCCCTCATTAAATTATGACTAAGGACCATAGTTGTCAACCGCGTGCACATCTGTCCTTACAAGTCCCCATCCACGTTACTAAATTCGGTATTTAATTCAAATTATTTTTAAAAAATGTAAGGTATAGCTAAGGTTGCCATTCGTGTAACCATAAACCTATTTTTGTAATCCCTAATAGTTAAGATTCTCTTCATGTTTAAAAACGAAGTTTGTGCGTGGGTTGGTAAAATTATAGGGGGAAGTCTAGGTGACCGTAAGAGGGAATGATTTTCACACTTTAATATTGATTACTGCTACGTTTTTCCCTAAATCACGCTTTTCTGTCTAAATACTTTCTCTAATCGAACTTAAAAAACCGCATCACCGTTGGTTGTTTAGACTTTGGAATAACTTTAAAGTGGAGTAGATAGAAGCTTACAGTATGTGGCACATAATTTGTTTTTACAAGTGTATTTTGACCTCATAATGTTTGATCTGATCCTTGTAAACCTGACTGCGACGACCAAAAATTCATTAATTGGCAACAGTCTCTTATTTCTAACAATAACTGCGGAAAAAGTTTTTTACTGGCTCCAGCCACAAAACAGTTAACATCTTGATTTCTCTTGAACTGAATCTATTGGTTTTCATTTGTTGTCTTCTAACCAAGTTGCCTGAAATGACTGAGGATTAGGCTACATATTGTTCAATTTATTCTAGAAGACAAGTTTAACTAGAACTAAATTATTACTAAATTGTATATCATATAAATTTACCCTACCTTATTTGTCGTGGTAAATGATTGTGGTGTGATATTTTTTGGTCAAACAATTTAGTGAAGGGTAAAAATATTTGTACTAATTTTAACTATTTTCGTCATTTTCTTATAGATTTGTACGAGAAATAGGAAGGATCATTATGGATTCTAAAAACCTGCCGTCAAAATTTTGTTACTTCAGGTCCGAATTGAGAATGCATCCTCCAGAGACTCCGTTGCATGTTACACAAGAAGCTGTTAGGATGTTAGAGGCTTACCTGAACATAAGCTCTCTTAGAAGGCAAAAAAATACTAAATCTGACAGTGCGTTTGTGTTTAATCCTTACAAACGTAATGATTTAATGACAGGAGGATCAAATGTTTACCATGATGACATAAGCGTTCTGCCCCATAAAGATTACATAAAAAATAATGAACTGTTAGGGGCTGATCAAGCACCAGTAAGGAAAAACATTATTATTTTTATCACCTTGCCAGATTTGCGCAAGTGTTAACTATGTTAACCAAATACTGAATATGTCTCTTGATAACAGAGAACGTTTAAAGAAGTTAGAAAAGATCTCTCCACATTTCGGTAATACGACAACACTTCTTAAAGATAGTAGGTTCATATTTAATGAAAATACACTTGGTTATATAAAGCTATCAGTAAGCAAGTTATCACTTTTTATGTTCATTCAAGAATTCAGTGTCTGTTGTGAACAAGATGGGCTCATGTATTGTGTGATGTCTGTAGGCAGTTTTCACTTATCTGTTGTTCACACCGTGTAAAGAAACTTTTTGGAGTACCTATAAAAGAAATTTAGTAAATAGTGGCCTTGATGATCTATGATCATAAGCACTGTGTCTGAGGTAACTGTTTGAGTCTGGTTGCATACAGGTTATTTAAAATGTACTGTTTTTACTGTCAACCTTTTCTGACCCTTCCTTCCATTGTGGAATGGCAGCGTCTTTAGAGATGCTGGTCATTCATGCGTAACACATTACTGATATTTCAAGCCAGTACGATGGGTAGTAAAGATTCCCCCGTATATGTTATACCGGCTGCAACCGACCATCCTAACTTAGGTGTTAAAGCCAATTTGGTTTAACTTGCTCTTCAAGATAGGCAAATCCAGTCACATCAAAGTGGTAGCTACAGCCAACAATAAGTATTTTTTAAATCACATTATAAAAAGCCTTAGATACGTGTTTAATGCTCATTGGAAGCTAAGCCTGCAGCAACGTTTGTTGGTTAATGCTGACGTAAGTGAAACCAATGCACGAGACTTCTTTTCTGCCCTAAAGTATCAGTTGCACAGCAAAACATTAGCAAGTTTCCAAGCTTGATAACTGTTTGGTAAACTTCATTGTTTTTACTCGGCAATCACTGAGAGTTGGATTTCATGACATGAGTGGCTTTCCCTAGTTAGTGGATTCTGTGCTGCAGAATATTTTGTTACAAATTCACATATACTATCAGACTTCGGGCGAAATTAGAAAGAATCAGCTTAGCAACAACTGAACTGCATAATTGGTGAGCGGCCACTAAACAGTTAAAAATACACAATATATTTGTGCTAATCGGAGACATTATCAATTAATTGTAACTCAGAATTTGACTTGATATTACGTATACTGTAGCCTTTCTTTAATATCTACAGCTATTAGTTAAGTCTTTGTTCAAGGCGATTTTACACATAATAAAGTCAAAATTCACTCATTATGCAACATTTATAATTTGCAATCAAAAAGTAAAAACTATTATTGCATCACTATGCCACTAATTAGCGTGTTGAACTTCACGAAAGTACTACCAGGTTGATTCTTCCCACTTTAGTAAAAATTAAAACTAAAAAAGTATTTACCCGATAAAGTTTGTATGTTTTCTCCTTTTTTATAACTTTAGTTAAAAGCTCTGCTTAAATGCAGTGTGATAAGACAAACAAACAGGGTAATACGCTACCCGTCGCTCCAGAAGTATTGGAAAATTGTTTAAAAACTACTCAGTTTCATTGAGGTTATAATTGACTCCAAGTATCATCTTCATAAAAGTCAAATGCCATTAGATAATAGGAGGTTGAGATTTAAAATAACTAATTTATATGCCTTACAATTTTTATGAGAAATAGATTGCTAAGTTTGTTTTTGGTGACAACTCGTATAGTAATAAGTAAACGTATGTTTACTTCAAAGCTCCACATTGTTTAAAGATGAATCCTAACGCAAGGGATAGTAATTGGACTTAATGCCACAATTATCGTCAAACTCTTCAAAATTAATATGTAGTTGTAAAGAATGTTCTTGATCAGTAAAGTAATTCATTTTATTTATTTTGATAGGCATAAAGTTTATATATATTTCAAATCAAATAAGTTGTATTCTGCATGAGACAAATGCTAATTTACCATGTGAATTTACTGTAATAAAAATCTATAATCGTACGTCCAAAACATTGATTTTGAAGGCTGATTTTCATCAAACATGATTGAAATATTCTGAAAAGAATTGACTGTTAACTTACATAATTTTAGATTAAAATGTTAGTCATTCAGTTTAGTAGGATTCATGTTCTCATTTAATAAAATGATAAAAACACGGAGTTCCAGGTCTAATTTTGTACATTCTCATTATTTTTAGCTTGTTCACTTAACTGTGAAATTATTCCTAATAAAATTCCTCTTCAGTCAGTGAATGGATCATTTGCACAGAAAACAAAAATAAATGAATTTTTTCCTCGTTTTGACAATGTTGATGGTCTTAGTGCTAAATCTCGACAGTCTGATTCACTATATAATTCAGTTAGCATAGAACCAGTCAGTCCACCAGTGTTTGAAATACCAATTCAAATACCTGATATAAAATCTGACAGTTCATTGTCCAAGAGGTTTGTAACGAAAGACGATTCTGTATCTTCATCGATCATGCGCTATCATAGTGTATGCAGTGGAAGTGCAGAAAAAACTCACACCATACCTGAAATAGAGGAATGGTCAGCAATCGAAGTTAACTCTCATCATAATGAATATACTCGACGTTTCAGTGTTAAGTCAGCCCCTGAAGACGTACAACACTGTTTGCGGATAATACCTAAACGAAGTGCTACCAAAAAATGGTTTAAATTCCGGCTTCCCAAAAGCAGTTTTAACTTAAAGTCTCACATTGGAAATAAATTATCTACAGCTAAAGAGGAAATATTCGAATCAAACAGTGTATTTATGGGAACTAGTTCTCACGAAAAAGCATCAACTCTAGAAAAAGAATATAATGGCTGTGCTGAAGTCAATGGTACCCTCTTTCCTCCAATACTCAACAGAAAATTGAGTATAAACATCATAAACAAACCAGATGAAAGGCTTCACCATCCACCACTTACCAATGTATGTGCTCAGTTATTCCCCCGATTATTTCGTCAGAATGAATCTTCGTCTAATTATTTATCAAGTGGTTTTTTCCCTAGAATACAAAGGCTATCCACAAACACTATTCGTCGAGTAAAGCGAAAAAAACGCACTGCTAGGAAATTGGATAAAATTTCTACTCAAGCTTCTGTAGAAGAACAAGAAGAAGAGGTAGGGTTTCTCATCTTTTGTAACGTTAGGTTTCATTGTTTTAGTTCTGAGATATTCTGTACATCATCTTCAAACGCTACTGCTTATTGTCTATTTGGTAAATAATCTCAAAGTAATGTTAGTCGATGGAACATAGTTTATGTCATAGCATTCCACCAGCTACATCAAGGAACAATGTTAAATAGCATAGGAATATGTTGGATACAATTTACTGACAGCTAGATCAAAATATATCATCAGACCATGAAATTATAGTTTGTTAAGCAGATTAATGTGTAAATGGAAGTGAAGGCTCTTGCTTATAGTCGTTTGAGATAATTGTAATTCTTAGATTAAAACCTGAAGTTCAAAACTAGCAACAATGTTAATGATGTATTTAATTTTTTTCATTTTTGGAACCTTAAACGTAACATAACTCATTCTTTAACGTCATTAGTTCCATATGAACTTAAATCGTTTTATTCAACCCCCCATTATCATTCATATCGTTATTTCAGATTCTTGACCTTCCATCTTGATTGATATAAATCATTTTCCACTTGAGCCGATATACATGTGTGTAAGGTTCTATATTGTTGATGACTGATAATGTTCGGGTTACTTTACTGAATAATATGAGCACTTGATTACAACTAGTTTATTGTATCATCTGATAAACTAGTGTTATAAATATATAGCTTGATCATAGAAAATGTAAATTGGATATAAAATATCTTAGATATCTACCTAGTTGTTACTATCATGTAGTTGGTTTTTTTACAATAAATCGTAGAGATTAAAAACTAGCATCCACCAGTAAGGTGCGTAAACACAGCCTGGAAAATGTTATCCCGCTTGTAAAAAGACAATATTCTACCATTAGATAATTTGTAATTCTATCAAATACCGTTAAACTTAAGGCTTATCAACCCATCAATTAGCTATCATAAGCATAATGAATAAAGGAAGTAATGTAAAGTGACTAATATTCTAATAAGTCAGATTCAGTATATTAGTTAATTATCCTAATATATCTCTCCTGAACTAAATGTCTAATAAAACGTTTTAAGAGATCTGTTGGTACTAAGTAATCGATACATTTTGACAATTAAAGTGACCCATTGTATCATTGAATAAAAATAAAGAGGATTCAGCGAAGAAAATCTTTTCTATGAAGTCATATACCCAAGCTGTACATTCGTATTTGTAGTTGTTTAATAAATGTGAGTCTATAGATTGGATAAAAGAGGTCTCATCATAAAGTGGTCCGAGATTTAAAACAACAAAAGCAGGTTGCGTAATGGTCAATACATTTTGAATAAATCTTTATTCACACAGATACCTTTTTTGACGTGAATATGATAATTCACTGACAAAAACTTAAAACGTTTGGTCATTTGGTAATTTACCTAGAAAATAAACGAAAAAGAGCCAAGAGAAAAACAGAACAACTTAACCAATGTTACTTACTTTCAAAGACAAATCATCGGTACTATTTGATGATACAACATAAATGGATCAGCACCAGTAAGGTTTCTTTTTCCTAAATCAAAGCTTTGTAAGTTTTACCGACATACTTTGTTGTTTACGTACTCTTCTCATTGGATACCTTTCAACTTTCCACAAGTTTTATAGGTGATGCAGCCCCTTTTATATTTTCAGATAATTCGTGTGAAAATGTTCTCTCACGAATGAACAAAGCATTAAGTAAATTATATTTGAGTCAGAGCATATCGTATTTAAGTTAATTAGTCAGTTTTAGGTATTCATGCATCCCTAAACTAATTGTATCCGATATATTTCTTTTTCTCAATGTAGAGTGAATTGTTTTAGCTTTCTTTTATTAACTGTTATGACTAAATATCTATTTAATCCATTCACTTGTCTAGTTTCGCTTATTACCATTATATACCAAACGGCGTTCATCAAAATTCTCTCATTATGGGAATGTTGGGTTAATTAAAAATAAAGGGAACTTATTAGTTAAAGAAGTAGAGTATAACTTTTTGAACAGATCAAATCACTCATCGGATAAAGAATTTTTAGAAAATGACTCGTTTAATACCCCAATAATGAATTCCAAAACATGGCCAATCGGTTCACCTAGCTCAAAGGTATCTGGCGAAATTGCTTGTCTTTATCGTGGATTGATCGAAACAATAGGAAGCGATAAATTGATTGAATCTACTTCACAAACATGGAGTCATTTCACTCACAGAAAACCTCAGTCTTCAGATAAAACTAATCTACCTGTAAGTTATCCGTAATTATTTCATTATGTGGTATCGAATGTTACTGAACCTTTCCTCCCACATTTTTATCCCATCTGGTTCTGCATTTATTGTTTATCTTTAGTTTGAATATAGCTGAATCTACCATTAATACTATTGTTGCTGTTACCAGTTGGCTAATCAGGAATTACTCATCCGATAAGACACGAAATGTCAAAATGCACTTGTTATTGATTTGTTTATTTTTTGGATGGAAAAAATCTTCTAATGGTTAGAAGTTATAAACCATGTGCAGCATTTTTATATTATTGTCTTTCATTCTAATAGCGTCACTCGTATCCTAATCTGTCTTTCAATAAGTAATCCATCCTTTATTTTTAACTGATTCATTTTAAAGTACTGATGTGGCTTGTCTATATCCGGTGACAACTAGCATCGATTTGTCTACAACATATATCTCGTTCACCTTTTCTCGTCCTAGAGCCGTTTAATCCTATCGACAAATCTTTCAGGGGTGATTTATTGAAAGTGTATTCAGATAAGGGACATGTATATATAACTGACTATAATAAACTTGAAAATATAAAAGTGAAACAAGCGTCCTAAAGGGACAATAAATCATTTGGAAGATTATATCTTTGGCCGTGATAAAAATAAAAGATAGGTGTCGTGGAGATTCTATATCCACAGGTTAAGGAGGTTCAGACCAACAACGACGAACTGATGATATTCTTCGATGTGACAGCCTCTATTCACTTCAACCGAACCAAGCTTAGCAAAGGAAACTCTAATTCTGCTCCTCACCTATGATATGAATCTCCAAAAGTACTCGAAGCTTCAACGCCGGAGTTTACTAGAACTCATCGACTAATGCTTAACAACATATTCTCAACTCAACAATATAATCTACAAACAAACGAGAGGAACACCAATGGGATCACTAATGTCAGGATTTATTACAGAAGCAGTGATGCAGAGACTGAAAGCTTCGATATCACTGGTGATTAAGCCAAAATGTAGATGTTGTATTCGTCATTGGTGAAAAGGATGAGCTGGAAAGCACCTACAACGTCATCGATGACATAAGATGATTCACAATGGAAAATGATCCGAACAGATACCTATCATTCTTAGATGTATTAATCACTAAAACCGACAGAGAAAAATTAGAGACTCAAGTATACCGCTAGCCGGTTCACACAGATCAAATTCCTAATTATGGTAGTACCAACCCAAGAGCTCAAAATCACTTGCGTACGAACTTTATTAAAGAGATCGAAAACACATTGCAGCACTTGCAGCGCAGAAAAATGAGGGAAAGTATATAATTACTTTATTCCAAAAGAACAGGTATCTAATGAACTTCACCAAAAAATATCAACCAAACGCATCAGAAACAAAATTAAGTAGAGAAACCAACAAATGGATCATCCTAATATATATCAAATACATATCAGAAATTACATGGAGATTGTTGAAGCCGTTTGGAATAGGTGTAGCACAAAAACCAAAAAGTCACTTCAATCAATCCAATGCAAACCAAAAGACGAAATGAAAAAAGGAGAAAAACCGAATATCTACAAAATAAACTGTTCCAATTGTGAAAAACACTACATCGAACGAACTGGACGCCCCCTTCATCTTCGCCTGCATGAATATCAATTAGCTGTCAAGATCCATGACACATCTCCTCTTCCATCAATGAATGTGGACAACTGTGGACAAACATTCAACTGGAAAAAATGTTGAGATCTTGGATACAGGCTTGGGCCTCAGGTCAATCGATTAATCAACAAACACATTGAAATCGATCCAATTTATCAACCAATCAGAAAAATTATGGACAAATACAAGACCAAGAATCATTCGGAGATACAATCAAAATAGATGGTGATGGATTAAAGGACAACAAAAACTGATCAAGATCAACGGTTACAGGAAAGCTGTATCATATTTGGAGAAATTAGAACACACTAATTCTACCTGAACTTTGTGCTGATGATATTGGTCTCAGGAACAACGAAAGCTCCACGACCAAACCATTTAGGTCCGAGGACAAAACTCCACCTAAATCAATTATGCTCTTGGTTTTTCAGTATTTCATCAGTTCATTGCTTTTGTGATGATAGCCATTTCGAGAAATGTATGTTTGTATAATTCAGTGTACGGATTTTTTCTTGCCAAGAATATGGTTTTAGGAAATAACCAGCTTTTCGGGAGAACGTTTAGCGTCATCAGACAGAATGATGTTAGATTGAGGTTTTGGTGTTAATGTTTCTCTTTGCTTACTGTATTAACATATTTGCTTATTGAACAGAAGAAGGAAATATAACAACCCACGTGCAATTCAGTATGTTCTCATTTAACTCAGTTAAGCCCTTTTGTTGACTTATTTAGCGGACAAAGTCATCCGTACTATAACAACTTATTGTACCTTTATTATTGTTGTGCTTGTATGAAATATGTATGCTTGAACATTGCTTACCGCCTACGCATATATATTAGCTGCTCAATTGATTCGATGATCCATACATTTAACACTCTGCACTCTCGGTTCGCTGAATCATTCGTTTGCCTCTCGGCTTTGTTGTCTGAATTATCTACTAATAAGACTGTAGTCGCTGCTTCTCTTTGCCTTCTGATTTCAAACACCGTTGAGGATTATATGGTAACGGTTACGAGGGTGATTAGTTAACAAAGCACAGCCACTACAGAAACATATTCTATTCAAGTGTTTTGTACAGTCATATGGCAATGTGAATGTTAAAGTAGAACTGCATCTATCATCTCACCCACTCTATTTTCATCATTTTTTTAAGCAAATTTATTTTGAGTTGACTATTTAACGTTAGTCACACTTCCCGTTACAAGCCATTTGTCTTGCAGTTGTGTTTATACTGTTATTATTGTTGTATATGCTGCTTGATTGTACGATTTAGCTAATAATAGTCAGACTGTGCGTCTAAAAGTAGACATAGCCTTCTTAAATTTATCTAACCTGTTTTGTTTATGAATTTATTATTTTCATCAATACACTACAGTCGTGTGCATGGGTTATGAGTCATAGCATTTTAATATTATATCAATGCAGTCTAAATGTGAAGTTTTCCTTTCCAGCCAGCCATCTTAACTATGGCTTTCAAAATCGATCTGATGTGATAAACATACAGGCACACAATAAACCCACTTACTAAAGAAATTGTCATACCTTGGACGAACTATGACTCGTCATCATTAGTGATTTGTGTAGAAATATTTTTTGAAAGAACGTCGATATTTAGAAAATCGTCACATGAAGTCTGTTTGGACGTTTCCCGGTACTTCCAGTGAAGAGCGATGCACTTGCTTTTGAATTTTAATGGCTATTAGGATATAGAATAAAAATTACAAAATCCTTTGAATATCTGTCTTGCACTTAAGTGAAATACAATAACTTATCCCATTTAGGGCTATTATCCGTCGTGTAGCATAGGCCGTCCACCAGCGTTCTCCATCAAAATCTATCATGTAAAATCCTTTCCAGTTGTTTCCAATTGATATTGATTCTTTCGATGTCTGCTTCCGATTCTCAGGGCAGTGTGTTTCTTGGTCTTCCTCTTCCCTTCAGGATTCCAAGTTAGCACTCGCTTCGAGATGCATTTGGTGATTTTCGTAATGTATGTCCTGTTCACCAGAAACGTCTTTTCTTAATCTTCTCTTTACCCCGAAGCTGGTTTGTTTGCTCCTACAGTAGACTGTTGCTTGTGGTATCCGGTCAACGGACATTGATTACCTTGCGTAGACAATTGTTTATAATTACTTGTACATTTTTGCTGATGGTTGTGGTAGTTCTCGAAGTTTCGGCTCCGTACAGTAGAACTGTCTTGACGTTCGTATCAAGGATTCTGACTTTGGTGTTGGCTGACAGTTGTTTTGAGTTCCATGTGTTCTTCAGTTGTAGGAATGGCACCCTTGCATTGCCAATCCTTGTCTTAACCTTTGTACCAGATCTTCCTTGTTTATCAATGATGCTGTTCAGGTATGTGTAAGTTTCCACCTCTTCTACAGCTTCTCCAGCAAATGTGATTTGGTTGGTGTTCTCTGTGTCCTATTTAAGGATCTTGCTTTTTCCCTTGTGCATGTTGAGGCTTCTGCTACACTGGTTGTCTTCATCTGCATTTTTTCGTGTGTATGAGATAGAAGAGCCAGGCCATCTGCAAAGTCCAAATCGTCTGGTCGCATACGAGTTGTCCATTTTATTCCGTTCTTCCCCTCAGATGTAGAAGTCTGCATAATCCAGTCGACCACCATAAGAGAAAGAGGGAGATTAAGCAGCCTTGTCTGATTCCATTCCTCACTTGGAATGCGTCTGTCAGCTGTCTTACATGCACGGCTTTTCAGTGTAGTCCGTCTTGTAAATTCCGTTTGATGTTGATGATTTTCCCAGGCATATCATAGTGTAGAAGAACGCTCCATAAGATTATACTATCCACACTGTCACACAATTTCGCATAGTCGAAGAAGTTTATGTGTAGTGACGAATTTCATCTAACCGACTTCTCAACAACGATCTGTAATGTCGCCATTTGATCTGTACACAACTGATCGTTGCGGAATCCAACCTGTTCATCTCGAAGTTTGGCGTTTACTGAATCTTTGAATTCGTACACAGGGATTTTAATGTAATTTTCGAATTTTTTATGAACAGTGTAAAGTAAGTTTTTGTTTTTATCTTTATTGGATAGTCTTTCAATTTGAATTCAGTTATAGTTCAATGCGATAAATCGAATAAATTAACATATGACTTTACAATCAATGATTTATCTACAATGCAGCATTGTACTATTGATCATACAAAAGTTACGGATGAAATAGTGTCAAGTAGGGAAGCGACTGATGAAGCACTAAAAAATACTACCATCAGTTCTAAACCGAATCAATCAAATAAATCTTCAACAAAAAATGAACTATTTGTAAGTAATGCTTTTTTTCCAAGTATTTTCTTTATAAATGTTTCTTCAGTCCTACTGTCCCAACTGTAAGTAATTCATTGAATTGATGATTTTATTTGTCTTAACAACGGGCGAAATTGGCTATGGCACTGGCTTCTTAAGGTTCTACCGTCCCAATCAAGTGTGTCATTCACGTATATATATTCATTTAACGAATGGTCGACTATTTAGTACTAAATTGTGAACACTCAAATATTTGTCGATCGTGTCTGATATCTGACTCTCCTTATCTATTGCAAACATTCTCCCTTTTTGACGTATGTTTAATAGGTCAATTAACCATACTGAACTAGTCTTATAACAATTTATAACCAATATTGTTTATATATGTATGTAATAACTAATATTCTGTAGTGAATAAAAATTTAATTGATATCAGTCATTTAGTTGTAACGTTTATTATTTAGCACGTAAATAGACAGATAAATAGTGACAAGTAAACAAATAAATAAATAACGACAAATACTGAGATGTTCAATACATTTATCGTAAAGGAAATTTATTTATGTATTCTTGGTTTATGTTACTTGGATTTTGTAACCGGTAATTTAAGAATGTTGCAAAGGGAACCTTTATATTTCCACAAAATATTTTATTAAAGGGAACGAATGTCATGAATCATGGTTGAGGGTCACATCGGGCTAATAGTGCGCATTCTCTGGTTTTAACTACTTGTGTTGTGGGTTCTATCTGATCGTAGATTTTATTTTTTGTCTTATCTGGGTACTCAATCGACTTGATGTAATTCAAATTGTGGTCAAATTAGCTGAAAAATATGTTCCACTTAATCAGTACGCGTAGATACCCCAATTTGATTGAGAATTGTTTAATACGACTGTCTGAAGTGAAGATAAAACCAACTTAATGTACAGGTTAATTTTTCTGTCGTTCTTAAATCGTTCGGGATAAGATTGTGTACGCTCCTATCGTATCAATTAATATTAAGATAATCATTATTCAGCATTCAGAAGTTTTACTTCCATTATCGAGGTGAAAGAAGTAACAAATGCCGAAATTTTATTTATTATATGATTTAGCATCGAATATGCTATTCGTCATTCAGTTCATTCTACCTTCGGAGTACAATGCGTAACCGCTGAAAACATAAGATCTGATAGAGAAATATATATGCGATAGCTGATCCATTTACACCACGGATCTCGTTTTTGATAACAAAAATCCCAGTATATGACCAATGCTAGATGTACTGGTTGAAGCAGACCAGAGTGTGTAGTATTGCTTGAAGGAAAAATGTCTCTGAATCAGGTTAATGACTGCCGATGTAGACTGGTTATCGAATCCGAGCATACTTCTTGCATCTATTACTAGAAGAATTGACATTATTTTTACTTTGCACCTGAAATCTAAAAATTCATCAATGAAGTCCAAGTATCACTTGTCTTTACCTTTCACTTTCCTCTTGTCTTTGTCTTTTTCTTTTAGTATATCAAAGTCCATCTGGATAGATCTTGATAAATCTTATTTACGTATTAACAATCTTCCTCTTATTATAAATTTTCAAACTAGGTTTGTTTATCTGGTCCTATCTGTAAGAAAACTAAGACAAACTCTTGACATAATTGATAATGTGGTATACTCATTCTATTTTTGACACATGTCGACATGTTTTTGAAATTTCAGTTCAATAAAGTAACACAAAATCTCGAAAACTGTGAGGTGAGGAATTCTTCAAACAGTTCTGAACTTCAAAATGAATTAAAAGCAGAAAACTTCAATCATTCATCAACAAATGACAGTACACACTATCCATATGCTAAATACGTTGCAGCTATGATTGATGCTTTGTCTGAACGTCTTATGGGTAAAATATCAGAAGATGATTTAGAATTACGTTTTCAGACTTTAGAAGCAGAAGCATCTAAAGCGGCCAAACACAAAAATGCTCAGTCTGTTAAACGTGAACGATTCTACTCGGTTGGTAATGGAGCTGAGAATTTACGTTGTCAGAATTCCTTAGAAAATACAACACGGGGTAATTCATCATCAGATGAAAATATATTCAATAACATAACAGAAAGAAATGAACTAAAGAATAGACGATGCCATTCTGTAACTAATTTTTTTGCTACGACAAAATCATCAGACTTACATAATGCATCATCATTAGAATCAAGCCAACGTAATTTGAAATATTCTTGTTTAGAACAGGTGAAACGATTACAACTTCGAAACAAAGTAAAGTGTTATTACAAACCATTATTCTTTATCAGAATTTTATACATGTTAACTTCTATGCGTTTATATACTGCCCATTCATAAATCTGAGTCTTTTGAGCTAAGAGGTTGTAATTTGTAGTGTTGTAGTTTAGGTACAATTACAACAATTTACTATACTCTTGTGTTCATATGACTGAGGGCCTGGTATTCATATTCTTTCTAGTCAGTCAGTTATCATCCACGTAGATGCTAGCCCAAAGTTTGCACACTTCATTATCACGATGAGATAAATTTAACACGATGAATTGTAAAATAGATCGGAATAATGTAGTTGAAATAACAATCAAAAAGAGTTGGCTTTGAGGATAGGGTATGAGAAAATAGTGGAAAGATATATATATATATAGTTTCGAATGAGTTAGCGTTTTACTGGTAAACCTTACCACTGGAGACGAGAATCCGTGGATCAGAGTGAGGTTTGACATGTGTAGGATCGACCTTCTTCAACTTCTTCCGTCGTGAGAAGGCAGCATTGCCACAGACGCTAGTTGTCCTAGAGAGACAACTAATCGCTATCATGCCTCTTTATGCAGTCGGCAGCACAACTTTACTATCAGATTACGAGTTTAGTACTTTTTGTCTTACTGCTCTCCTACCAACCTGCTTGGCATGTTGAAACATAGAGGGACGAGTGTTCCAGCCAATCTAACCTAATTTAGTTTTCGTATCGTGCAAGCCCGACCACCAGGACAACGTATCCGCTATGGATTATTTCTAGTGTTCGATTACTTAAAAATATCATTTGTAAATTTGAGATATTTCAATGAAGAAATTTTTCAGTTGATCAATGTGGTCGTATAAATTCCTCTATTAAGTGGCAAAAACACTTCTAACGCTTACTTCGAGGTCCAATCATAGCTGGAGTACGTTGCGAAAAAGTTTGGGCTAGGAAAACGAAGATGGATCAACAGTCCACAAAGTCATAAACTGTTAAACAAACAGTACCTCTAAAAGCATATTCCTTGTTTTAAATCCCCAACTTTCACTTATCAGTTGATATAGTCCTATATCGGTTATATTAGCGCATATGTATTTGGTGCTTCCTTGTACCAATGTTTGAGTTTAAATGAATTTTGTCATCTTCCATACATTTCATTCGTTCTTAATCTACTATTCTGATGCTGAATTCGCGATTACGACAGATCTTGTTTTGTACTCCACCTCTCATCATGTTAGTCATTTTTTTTATCTGACAATTGGGTTTTTTGAACTGACACGCAACTATCCGCAGTCTTACATTGTCTATGAATAAATAAAATAATAACTATATCTCTGTTCATTACGGTTATCAAATTAATACAATTAAAGAACAGCGAAAAAAATAATACAAAATTGAGTATTTATTTATTAAAAATATTTACTTGTTTCAAGAATCTTTACTAGTGAACGGGTTATAAAGTTGCTGTCATTTCATAAGTGGTAAGTAGGTGTACAAACAGTCGGTTTTCACAATATTATTCTTTAAGTATTATTGTTAAACGTAAAAAATATCAATTTGTTTTAATAGTCAATATGTAAGTCGATTTAATCTTCTATTGTTTAACCATTTCAGATTTGCTATCATTGCTATTTACTAACTATGTGGTATTTTGACATTAAATGTGTTAGTCATATAGCAGGTCTTAAATATAGAAGTGTGCATATTTTGAACTGTTTGTACAGACTATTTTAGTTGTTATTCTACTTGGAACGTCCCAATTAGATGCGAACTTTATTTCTGATTGACGATCCAACTAGTGTGTGGAAAATAAAACAATGATACATTAATTTTACCAGTCAAACTATGGTGAAAATGAAAAACAAGTGTAAACTAACGATACTTACTTACTTACTTACGCCTGTTACTCCTAATGGAGCATAGGCCGCCGACCACCATTCTCCAACCCACTCTGTCATGGGCCTTCCTTTCTAATTCCCTCCAATTCTTGTTCATTTTTCTCATGTCTATCTCCTTTTCCCGGCGTAATATGTTCTTTGGTCTTCCTCTTTTCCTTTGGCCTTGAGGATTCCATGTGAGGACTTGCCTTGTGACGCAGTTGGGTGCTTTCCTCAATGTGTGTCCTATCCACTTCCAGCGTTTCTTCCTAATTTCTTCCTCCGCTGGGATCTGGTTTGTTCTTTCCCACAGTTGGTTGTTGCTAATAGTGTCCGGCCAACAGATCTGTAGTATTTTGCGTAGACAGCTGTTAATCAACACCTGTATTTTCTGGATGATGGCTTTCGTAGTTCTCCAGGTTTCCGCCCAAACTAATGATACAGTAATAACTAGAAATCTAATGTAATAGAGAGAACAACTGAAGTTAGAATGATCAGGTTTTTAAAATGTTTAGTAGAATAATTATTCAGTTTAATTCAGTCAATGTTCTCGATTCCGAGTCGTCCAGTCTTCCGGATGAACGAGCCCGTGTAATTTAAATTAACAATTAGAACTTTGTTCATTTAAGTTGTATTTCGTTTTGTCTGCATTCGAACTTGTAACCCATTCTCATTCTAGGCAAAATTTCACATTCATCCAAACAAAAGCGTGGCATAATTAACATATTTTATAACTGCGAGTCTGTCAAGCCCATTGCGTATTTTACTTCGCTTACTAAAAGTCTACCATTGGACCCAAGGTTGTAAAAGATGGATTTAAATTATGATCTATTTGTTATGTACAATATCTGATTGATGTACAGAAAGAATAATTTATGCTAGTGGGCGTTGTTGTTATCCTTAGGTGATAATTACGTTTGGAAACAAACTCTGTACTTCGAAACATCATGTTATTCTTTGATACTCCCATTATATAACGGCTATATTAGAAGTTTGATGGAATTTTTACTTCGAACTTGTCACAACTAGAGAATCATTTCAAACTCATGAGTCTTGCTCAGCCATTTTATCGTAGTTTGATACACTTCAACGGTGCACAACAAAACTACAAAAGATTTACGATGAAACCTTAGTTTTTTCATCGAAGACGACACCTTGGAACCAATATTTTTGAGTTTAGTGTTTCTCACCTTCAGTTTCAATCAAATTTTCGATACAGCACGAAACTCATTCAGTTTCATCGCTGGATGATTTCACAGATCATCTCAGAACTAATCACAAGTGGGTATACGTTGATTACTTAAGTAATTTCGTAGGAATTGTTTTACAATTTGAGAGTGATTTTTATCACTAATTGATGCTAGCTAATACATTAAATAAATCAAACTTTAATAAATCATGCTGTTTTTTAAAGTCATTAGAAAACAAAGCACTTCTTGTAATCTAATAGAATATTTGATGTTATTATAGATACCTGAAATTTTTGGTGAATTGTAATGGTAACCAGTAGGCAACCTCATGTCATTCTCTTCAATAGATTAGTGTGTTAGCTCATTCACTCGTGAACAATTTCATACATGAATAAGCGTTTGTTTTTTGTATTATCAACGATTTCATTTAATTATTTAGATATGCTGAATTGATGTTTATCCCTTTCTAAAACCAATTAGTTATGTATAATAAAATTGAGTTTGACAATTTATTTTTTAATGATAATATTCAAACTTGTTCATTGTTAGTTGTACGAATTGCACATTTTCTAATCCGATTGTTCATAGCACATATAATCCATTCATGGTTATTGATTTTATTATTATTATCTTGAAATTTAATTTAGTTAATTATAACAGAGGATTTATTAAATCGTCTTGTAAATCATACAAATTATCCGAATTTCGAGGCTGATATCCTAGATTTATTAGGTCGACAACCGAATTGGCATAGAATCGCTATTCTTTATTATCTTACTAGATGTTCAGTTAGACATATATTAAATCTACATATAGAAAAGTTGGAAACAATACAAGAGTCAACTTCAAGTTCATCAATGTTACGTCAATCGATAAATATTAATTCAGATAGTGAGGAAATTGATGGAAGTTATTTACAATCATCAGGAAGGTAGGTCGTTTCATAGAAATTAAATAAATTTGATTATTAAAAGCGTTTGGTGTATAGTTTTTATCCATTTGATTTAGGGAGGTGATCACAAGTGGTCATTCTATGACTGGTATTTTAACAGCAGTTCATAGTTTGATTATTGAGAAGTGCTTTATTCTAGGTTTGATTTTAGGTTTCATTGCGCTTTAACACTGAATATAAAAGGGTAGTTGCTATCATGTTTACCAATAGGATTCATTATTCAAGTATCGAATACACAAAATGTTACCAACGAAATAAGTGCTTGATTAAAATGATATCAACGTTTCTATGATTGAATGACCCTGAAGATCAGGAAGCGCTGGACAGCTGTTTCTTCCTAGTATTAGGCAGCAAACAGTGCACTTCGATGACCTCATCGAGGATCAAACTCTGGACGTTCATGTTCAGTGGCGATAGCTTAATATTCAGAACACTATATTAGCATCCAATCGTAATGTAAAATTTTGAGTTCAACAATTTCTACAAGCCGCTATACTGGTAATTATTGGGTACTCATAGGTGATAAGTTCTGAGATGCGATTCCTAGTTCTCTCGTTAAAAGCAGTGACCATTAGAGTTCAATCACATTGTCTGGCTTTCATCCTGCCCGCGGGACTCTAACCCAGGACCTTCGGTCTCGCGTGCGAACGTTTAACCTCTAGAGCATCGAGCCGGTATGCAACAGTGTTAATATCTAACTTCAATCAAATCACGAAATCGCGCCACCGTCCACCATTGTTTTCACTGAGTCACTGCCTCACAACAGATACAGTTGAACTCCACTGGTCACTGCTTCTCACTAGGATTCCAGGAAATATCTCTTGAAGCCAGTAACTAGTGATCACATGATGACTACTATAAGATTCAGGGGTCTTGTGGAAATTTTAGTAATTTAATGATTGAATTTATGAGTCAAAGCGGGATCGTGGGTGCACACTACTGAGGAGTCCCATATTAGAACGAAACGGCTGTCCAGTGCTTCCAGGTTTTCCATGGTGGTCTGGCTTTAGCCGCCCAATGAATTCAACTACTAAATTATTACAATCTCCGCAAAACCACCTTCCTGAAAATGATTAGTGATAGATACGCTCTTTGCATGCACTATGATGCCATTGGTTGAAAGTTATTAACCAATCAGAAACTATATATATATATATATATATATGTTGGGTGGTCCGGCAAATTTCTTGCAAAAGACAAGCAAGCATCAGGAAACACTAAGATGCTTTTCATCCAGTGTTTATTTGAAGTTTTAGCCAAAAATATCAAAGAAGTGAAACGTCACATGTAGAGGTTCTGATTGGTTGATTGCTACACTTCTACTATGTTTAGTAGCATTCCAGAATCTTCTAGCAACCCAAGGACATTTGAAATATCATAAAACCCTGTATTTTCTGTATTGAAATGAACCTTGGAGTAAAGTACTTCTCGAATACTTTGAGTCTGCTCTCTCATTGTTGAGGTCGCTGTATAGTTCTAGCTTGAGGGTTACAAAATAGCTTAAGAAACGAATATGGCGTTCAATCCGTAAGACTTATATATATATATATATACGTTTCTTATCTATCAAAAAATGGAATTCGCTGCTTTACGGTACTACCGTACAAATAATTTGTATCGCTCCGTAATTTTCAATAAACAGTGATCTTTCAACGAGGATATTTGAGTTGATGTATTGAGGTTGAATACACCATGCAATTTGGTTACTAAGTGATGCATCTTTTGATGCCCTAGATGTTTATGAGAAAGCGACTCCGTTATCTAGATGTATTTTGTATTTTCAATGTAAAGTAATATTGGTTGATTTAATGTACTGCTTGGTGGTTTTACTACATGATGAGTCACTATAACTTGTATTTAAACTATTACTCATCTGTTTCACCAGAAGGAAAACAAGAGTAATTGAGTATCATCTATGTACATTGTTCTCATCAAGAAAAGTGAAATCGTGAACACCAATAAATCAAGAGTAATAGATTCTCAGATTTTATTTGTAATTCTGGAAACACCAACTTTTATAATAATAAACTGAAGAATATTTGTGTTTTGAAGAGCGGTGTTCAAAATCTGATACTGATACACAGTGTGCTACGCACTAACCCCCTCAACTGACTACTTGAACGAGAACACAAGAGTAAGAAAGTATATTGCGCTACCGAATGAAGTGCGTAAATACTCATATTTATACCACTTTAAATCTTTGGAAGCTGATCCATTTCTTAGCTTATAACATGCACTTTACTTTTCGGTCACTTCTGATTGCCATCAACTGACCTTCTCATTAGGCTACTTCTTGTTGGCTTACTATATTAAGTTGTTATCCATTTCATAGTTATTCCTTTCTTTGTTTTTTTTCTGAAATCCTAATTCATACTTATCATGCATCAAGTAAATCACCTCCAAGTAATTTTTATCCATCAAATTCAACATATGAAACAATAATTCGTGATACTGGCCAATGTCGAGCAATTATAGGCCGAATCAAAGATTATACAATTACTTTTTTTACACGTTGGTATGCAGATTGGGTATATAAACGTGGTGGTTGGGTGAGTTTTTAATAATTTCTAAAGAATGTAAACAACTGTTATGTACTGCCTTTACAAAAAAAGTAGATATTTCGTTTGTTTAACAAATGACAATAAAAACTGAAAGTTATTAAAGACTAAAACAAGACTAATTGGATAGTAGAAAATATAATGCAATATTCATTCTGTTATCGATATGTAACACTCATTCTTGACATATTTGACTTTACATATGACTACGTCCAATTGGAACTTCTTGAAATCAATCTTGTATAACTACAAAGTTAGGGTAGAAACAAAGAGCAGTTACCACCGTTTTATTTAAAGTTGTTTTAGTAAAAAAATTTTAAAAATTTAATACAGTCCCTTGATAAGCAAAGGTGGATGATGGCTAGAAGTGGGATTCATGACGCGCCTTTTGCCTGTCTGGGACTCGTCAGTTGGATATTTACTCCGGATCTCGAACCTAGTACCGTTAACTTTGAACGCCCTCGCGTTATTCACTTAGCTGCTGAGTCCAGATAGCCACCAACTTGTGCGATGGAGTAAAGTTTAATTCATCTAATATACAACACCTAATCCTGATAACCACAATCTTATTACACTAGTCAAAAAGATGTTAACCTGTCATTGTCTACTATTCCATTCACCTGATGATACAAATAACATCATTATAAATTATTGAAATAAGTTTTCAGCATTTGTATTTTTTAAGAAAATTGGTTGCACTTGTTGTTTGGATCTGCAATGTAAGTTAGTTTTAAGATAATCCACATTGTTGAATGTGAATTCAATTTTGTTTAAAGAAAACCATTTAATAGACAGAAAGTATAATATCCTGTTGTATTTCATCTAAACAAAATTCACTCTTTCTTTGTTCCCCCCAAAGCAATCTGTAATCGAGGAAACTGAAGATTCTGAACTAGACTGAATTGTCCATTACTTTAATTAGTATAGATGTTATTTTTTTAACGAACACACAACTCGGTGCTTAATTTTTGTCAAACTATTCGTTCTAATGTTGACGAATATTCGTATAGACAACTAGTCAGTATGTGATAAATTATGTGTAGAGTTTATAAACCTAAATTTTATACATAAAAAGTAATTTGTTTATGATAACTTCATTTGTATGTCATATATAATATATGTGAGGGACAGAAATGACAATCGATTCATAATCCTTTTTGTTTCCGAAAATTGTAAATTTCTACATGTTTATGTAGCAATCATCTTTTTCAAAAATGTAATTTCACTGTATATGCTCCTAAAAACAATATGATAATACAATATATTGTTAGTATGTAAGTAATACATTCGTATATATCGTTTTGTTTGAGATTGTTTCTGTAAATCAACTTAATGTATATATAATAATGCTCAACTTAGTTTTTTTGCTAGACCATATTTTTCTCTGTTTTTTTATAAACCACATTAGAGGTAGTAGAGGATTAAAAATGAACTGAAGTGATATCAGAAACCATTATGAACAAAATCATGAGCATATGAAACATAATTAACGAGAGAGGGGAATATTTTCAAATGCAAAAGAAAATAATAATAGTAATAGTTTAAGGCCAAGGTAATGATAATAAAGACATATTTATTTTGTACGTTCAGTTCTGGCTTAAAATTATGAATGGCAAGAATTACTTCTGTTTTGAGGAGTTTGATACAAAGAGATCTAGGTAGGTTCGGACGAATTTTATAAACAACATTCAAATCAACCTGTGGATCAGTAGAGTAATAAGGGTCAATTAAATGTTCAAGAATGAAACTTCTAACTACTTTCCTCTCACTCTTGTGCGTACAAAAATAAGTACGTCTTGTCGTTACCTTGACTTTAATATTGCTTTATTTCGTATTTGAAAATATCCCTCTCGTCAATAATCTTTCATATTCTCATGGTTTTATCCATAATTGTTTCTGATATCGCTTATTTTTAACCCTTCTGTTACCTTTAATTATTGTAACAAAAACATTTCAATTATCTTACTTATAAAACACATTGACTGTTGGTCTGATGTATGCTGGAGATGTTTAATGTAATAGCTCAAAACCAGTCATTGTGGTGCAGATGCAATAGTTTCCTGTCTTACTCTAAGCATTCAGCTCAAGTATTCTCTCACACATATCATTCTCACTACCACTACTACGGTATTGTTTCGATTTCGTCGCTATTCAGATGCCAGGTGTATGTAAGTAGTCTAGGAGGAATCCTGAACTTAGACTTTGTGCTAATTGGTGCTCTTCAGAAAAGTATGCCTTTAATCTTGAGAGGACTGATGGTGGATTCAGATCCACGTCTTCATAAATTCATCTTGTTGTACTATTGTTGTATGGCAACTTGGGCGAAATTAATTTTGTGCCAGATCCCACAGTGATTTTTATTGTCTTATTATGCAAATAAAAAGAGTAGAATGTAGTTTAAGATAGATCAAACAGTTTTCATCATGAAGGGAAATAGCCCTGACGACAGGTATCCTTTTATTGCAGTAGATATTCTGAGAAATTGGTATACTATTTGATGTACTACCTACAAGTAGTACATTTTTTCATGTTGTATTTTTAGAGATGGTATCACTTTTATTATATTCCACCGTAGATGATCTTCGGTTGTAAAGTTTGCCTACACTAATGTCCATAAGCTCTTAAGTGCTAAATATATGTTAAATTGGTATCCAGCTACTCATAGAATCAAACGATGATTTTGACATTTCGGGATAATGAGGACCGTCTATGGCCTTTATGATATTAATGAATATAGGCACTATCGATTTCAAAACTCAACATAGGATCAAACAAAATAACTAATCTCTGGGAACTTTGGCTTTAGATTGCAGTTTCAATCACTTTCCATATTTTTCTGCTTGCAATGATGAGTATTTTGGTAGTATTAGCATACATATAAACAAGGAAAATTAGAGCCTTAGTAACATCATAAACTGGACTTTTCGATAATGAAGGGACATTTTCCGTTCTAAATATGCGATCGATCGGCTGAGTTGATTATGATTGCTCATGAAAACAGACTTATTGATGCGATAAACCCACATGAATGGGCATAAGGATGTATAGCAATCACTCGTTTATTTTTAATGACATAAATGTATGTCAAATTCTAATCACTAAAATAAAGATGGTTATAAGTTACAACATAGGTAATTGTAAGATACTGTGGTGCGTTCTACTTATATTGATATAAGTAGTATACAACGTGAGGTAAGAGAACGTAAGGTCTGGCAGCAGAAGATGGAGAAGATCAAGAAAGGAAGAACAAGAACACAACGGGATTTGTAAGAAATCGCATGAACAATGAAATGTGAGACAATGGATTGATGTTCGCAACAGCAACAGTCCGGTTTCATATGATAGAATGATATTTTGCAAATTAACGATTTAATATACGGTTTTTCTATTTTACCAAGTAATTCTGTAATTTGTCCTAAATACAATTTGGTTGTCCTCACCCGTGTTCTCCTTCACTATATTTGGTGTCGCTGCCTCCACTGAGGATGAAGGTTCCATGGCCTAAGGAGTTTGAGGCCGTGGCGGAGCTGGTGGGAGTGAAGGAGCCGAAGGCGAAGTTGGTGGTGCTGGGGACGCTGCTGAGAGGCAGGGCGAAGGCTGTGTATGACAGCTTGGACGGTGCTGGCGGGAAGAGGACATAGGAGGCTGTCACAGAGCGGTTGGCGGCGGAGTTTGACAGCCCAGTGAACAGAGAAGACGCGCTGCAGAAGTTCCGGTTGGCGAGGTTGCCGGTCGATGGTGACCCACTGGTGCTGGCTGTGGAGCTTACCAGATTGTTACGCCGTGCGCTGCCGAGTCTGGATGAGGAGTCGGAGGCACAGTTGTTGGCGTCACAGTTTATCGAGAGTGTGCCTGCCACCGTCTCCCAACAGCTGAAACTAGTAAACGCAGCGCAACCGATGGATATCAGTGAACTGGCGAAGGTGACTCGTCAGCTGATGACGCGAACAGTAGCTCCCGTCGGGTGCGAAAAGCAGGAGATGAGTAATGTCGAGAAGAAGATTGAGGAGCTGGAGCGTGAGATTGCAGCAATACGAGTGAACAATAAACGGAACGATAAATGTTACGCTTGTGGAGGGACAGGACATTGGAAGATAAACTGTCCAACAAGACGAAGTCGCAGATACGTTAGACGTTACAACGAGTGTTCTTTCTATCCTAGGAATCTGGGAATTGTTGCGTTAGTAGACAGAGTAGCAGTATATACGAGAGTGAACATAAATGAGCGAAATTTAGTTTGTCTGATCGATACAGGTGCAGCATTATCGTTAATAGGCAAAGAGCAATGTAAGAGAATCAAGCCGTGTACATTAGCTGTCCACACGATAGGAGGCCATATGTTAGAGGTGTTTGGCATATCTAACAGTATCGTAAAAGTGGGGGATGCTGAGATAAATTTTCCGTTCGTGGTAACCACAAGTCTATCGAGACCGATATTAGGAGCAGATTTCCTAAGAGAAGTAAAAGCGATAGTTGACTTAAGAAGCGGTAAGGTAGTCACGAAATATGGTTCATTGACGATACACGAAAGTAGCGAAGTGGCTGAAATAAGAGTTGCAGCGGATGTCTCGTCGAAGAAACCAAACATTCACGAGTTATGCAAAAAGTATGCGAAACTATTCACTGGAGATGGGGAGCCGTATGGATTTTGTGACAGAGTAAAGCATGAAATACCGATAAAGAACAGTCGAGTAAATATATTTGCAACACGTCGTGTCCCGGTGCATTTAGAGGCTGAGGTAAATCGTCAGGTCCAGGAAATGTTGAAAGAAGGTATAATTGAGGAAGCGGACAGCCCATATAGCTCGCCAGTACTCTTGGTAAAGAAACCAAATGGAAAGTATAGATTTTGTGTCGACTTCAGAGAATTGAATATTATAACAGACCTGAAGCCTTGTGCAATGCCAACAGTGGTGGAAACATTAGATCGGCTACAGAATGCCACGGTGTTTACAGTGATGGATTTACGGTCAGGCTATTGGCATCTGCCTATAAAACAGAGTGATCGAAGCAAGACAGCGTTTACTGTACGTGATAAACAGTATCAATTTAAACGAATGCCGTTCGGGTTGGCGGGTGCACCGTTCACGTTCAGAAGATTAATGACACTACTGCTCAAGAATCTAGATAATGTCGAGGTATATGGCGACGATGTAGTTGTGTACAGTCAAACAGAAACAGATCACATCAAGCATGTAGAAGCGGTCTTAAAGCGAATTGACGAATTTGGACTTCGGATTAATAAGGAAAAGTCGCAGATAGCGAGAAGTAGCGTCACATTGTTGGGACATAAAGTGGGAAGTGGAGAAATAAAACCATTGCCGGAGAAAATTCTTACCATAAAAAATATTGCAGTACCTAATTCGAAAAGAAAGTTGAGACAGTTCCTGGGAAGAGCGGCGTTCTACAGTCGATTTGTCAAGAATTTCAACGAAATAGCAGCACCCTTATATAAGTTATTGAGCAGCACCAAGTTTACGTGGACTGAGACTGCCGAACAAACGTTCAACCGAATCAAAAACATGCTAGACGATCGCCAGATGACGCTCAGACTACCTGAACCGGGAAGACTGTTTACGGTGGCCACGGACGCGAGTGATCATGGTATAGGTGCTGTTTTGAGTCAGGCTGATAGAGTGGTGGGATACGCGAGTCGCGTCCTCACACCTGCTGAACAGAAGTATTCAACCATCGAAAATGAGTGTTTAGCGATCGTGTGGGCAGTGGAAAAATGGAGACCGTACCTTTTAGGTAGACGATTCCACATTGAGACCGACCATAAACCCCTGCAGTGGTTGAAAACAGCAAGAGACCCCCGAGGGAAGTTGGCGCGATGGATGATACGCCTGCAAGAATACGATTTCAGTATCGGCCATGTTCCAGGAAAAGAAAACGTAATGGCAGATCACTTGTCAAGACCAGACATGGAAGCCGACCTGCCATTAACAGCATACGCGGTGAATAGTTTAGAGGGAGACCCATTGGAACTCGTCCGGCAGCAGAAAGCTGACCCTAACCTTCGAGAGGTAATCAGAGTGATAAAAGAGGGAGCAGACGTAGACAAACGAACAATGGACAAGGAGGTAATAACGCTGCTTCGGCAAAAGGAACGACTGAGAGTGAACTCATATGGAGTGCTGACCTGGCAGGACGATGATGAGAATTGGGTAGCGGTGATCCCGAAAGACTGGCGGCGTAAAGTAATACACGAGTGTCACCAGGTAGCACATACAGGCATCGCAAGAACGACGGACTTACTACGACAAAGTGCATACTGGCCGAGCATGAGAGACGATGTGGCTGAATACGTGTTAACCTGCAAGCAGTGTCAGCTAATGAAAAGCGATCGATACACACAACCGCCATTACAGTCAATCCTAGTAACCGCAGTCGGTGATCTATGGTTGGTAGATGTGATGGGACCGTTTCCACAGACGGCGAGCGGTAACCACTACCTGTTAGTGATGACGGAACATGCTACACGTTGGGTAGATGCCGTACCCATTGCAGACCAGCGGGCAAAGACGGTGACCGAGGTGGTAATCCGGCATATTGTAGCGTGTCACGGAATACCGAAGATGATATTAACTGACCAGGGTCCTTGTTTTGAAAGTGACGAGTTTAAAGCCCGTTTAAAGCAGTTTGGCATCAAGAGAGTACGAACTACACCGTATCATCCTCAGACAAACGGGCTTACAGAGAGAAACAATCGGACGTTAAAGGAATGGTTAGCATCAAAAGGAGGAAATTGGGAGAAAGAGCTACCATTGATTTTGCTGGCACATCGTTCCTCCACACAAGGAACAACCAAGAAGTCACCTTTCTTGCTCATGTATGGCAGACAACCACGACTTCCAATGCATAATAAGACCTGGCCACAACAACAGAAGTGGACGACAACAAGATTAAGAAAAGAGAGGAGGGAGGCAATAAGGAACGTGGAAAAGAAACAAATATCAGACACAAAGAAGGCGGAACAACGGAGGAGAACGTGGAAACCCTTTGCAGTGGGGGACCTAGTAAAGTGTAGAGAACGAAAAAGTAACATAGCAGGGGGAGCATGGTCGGGAAAGCTGGCCCCAAAGTGGGAAGGACCGTATGTTATCACGGGGAGACGCGGCTCGGTTTACACGATCCGGAGAGAAGACAAGCAGAAGCGCGTAAATGCTAGTCAGCTACAGAGATGGTTTCAAGATCATCATGGGTGTGAGTCACGAAAAGCACCAAAGAACACAGCGGTACGGAGATCAGAAAGACTACGACGGCAACTTGTTAAAAGGGAGGACGAGTGTGATGCGTTCTACTTATATTGATATAAGTAGTATACAACGTGAGGTAAAAGAACGTAAGGTCTGGCAGCAAAGATGGAGAAGATCAAGAAAGGAAGAACAAGAACACAACGGGATTTGTAAGAAATCGCATGAGCAATGAAATGTGAGACAATGGATTGATGTTCGCAACAGCAACAGTCCGGTTTCATATGATAGAATGATATTTTGCAAATTAACGATTTAATATACGGTTTTTCTATTTTACCAAGTAATTCTGTAATTTGTCCTAAATACAATTTGGTTGTCCTCACCCGTGTTCTCCTTCACTATAATACGAGTTTTGTTTGTCACTCATTAAACCATGAATTCGAAATCTGAATATCATGTTCAATTGTCACCTTCCATTATAGAATTGTTCTTATATAACTACTATTTCAAACAATCAGGTATGTAACATGTATGTGTTCACTAATGTATATATTTTACGCAAGAGCTCAGTACTTATTATTATGCATTCAAATTTTTTGTTTCAATAAACCCATCAAATTTGTATTTACAGAATACAGTATAAAACGATCAGTGATTCATTTCACCAATTAGTATAACATTCTAAAAAATGACATTTTTTCTATAAAACTATTAAATCAATTAGGATAGTTTTGCATTCAAGACGTTCCGTGAAGGCTTTTTTAATTTTGGAAATCATTCATACAATTAATTTAGTAAAGCTGACAATTCGAGGCAGTTAAATTTTACTTTTCTGAAATTTTATGTCTGATGATAAGAAGCATAGTTGAAGTACGAAATTTTTTATGAAACTAATACCATTTTCATACAGTGTGATATGTTTGTTACTTTGATATTATAATTCTCAACATTTTTGTGACATGCAAATTGAATTAGGATGTTAGTATTTTATTGTGAGTTTTGATTGTATATCTTTAATTCTTTATTTTACAAACCAATCGTTTATAACCTAGATCGTATGGCTGGAATAGTAAAAAACAACAAATAGTAAAACAAAAAACATGTATTCATATTTAAGTTATCCAGAAAAAATCAATGTTTACGATTTCGGATATTTATTTCAGAAACTGTTCAGACTGTTTCACCATTATAGTCACACATTGCAAAATACTAACCACACACTAGTTAAAATGTACGTTTTAGTTATAGAACAAAGACTTGTTTTACATTAAATGTGTCACAAGGTTATTTTAGTTAACCAATCAAGAAGCTATGTTGCGGGTAGAAAATAACCAATCGTTCATCGATAATGTGGCTATCAATAATCAAATATCATATGATGAAAGGCTTTGGTGTCTGGTATAATTATCATTTAGTAGTTGAATTCATGAGTCAATTAAGGCTAGACCACCATGGAAAACCTAGTTCGGGACTCAGCAGCGCGCGTCCACGACCTCCAAACGGGAACGCTTAACCTCTTGAAAACTGAGCCGTCATTCAACGGTGTTAGTCCAACCGTGTCTGTCGTAGAGGCGGTCTGGCTTTATTCGACTCATGAATACAATTATTAACTTACTACAATCGCCACAATACCCCAAATCGGATAATGATTATCACTATTGTAACCTCACTTGTCAAGTTGTATATTGATTTAGAAGCATTGTTGATAGTTGACAATAAACTGGAGACCTACAATTCAATATGATCAATGAACGAAGAGTAATAATTATGCATAATACGTGTTAGGAGATTGCTTCGATTTTCGCTGACTTATGATTGGGTTGATTTATTTAAGACGTAAAAATTAGAGGGTCGACCTTTAATGTAAGAATATAGATAATCATTAGTTGGCCGAGATTCATACTGAGTATTTTCGATATTACAATAAGAAATACTTTGTTGTTAAGTAACTTGGGGTTTAAAATTGCCTATTCTACTTGACAGTTAAATTTCCAGTTTATAGTTGACATCCTAGGAATAAATGTCATGAAAATAAGCGCTCTAGGTGGTAGTTTAGTGAAAAACGTTTGACCTCATTTAGTGAGTTTAACATGAAGGACTTTCACGTAGCTGATTCATACATTCGGTAAATTGTTGCTTACCATTTTAATACAGAGAGAAATTGGTATAGCACCGTCACATAGCCCAGCAAATTTTGTAAATGCAAATATTGTTGAAGCGATAAATTAGACTGAGTTGAATATACACTCAGTCTTTGTTAATTAATAACCTAATAGTTCCTAGTTAAATTTTTTACAGTGAATGAAATACAACTTGTAAAGTATGCACTTAAAAGCATGTTTATTACCTACTAGAAAACAATCCTCTCATATTGACGGTGATCGAAATACTCATCTTACCAAATTGATTTGAACACATAAATTCTGGTAAAAGGAGGCACCAGATACATATGCACCACACAAATCTCACTTGATTTGTGTGAGGGCTGTGATACTGCCCGCGTGCCCAGACCGAAGCAGGTAGTTTTCTCGGGGGGGGGGCACACCTGGAACCTTCGACCTAAAGGTCTGATCCACAAGGCAGTGGAGCATCGTAAGGAGATGCAGTCCCATGGTAGCCGGTGACCAACGATTGGTTCATACGCCATTTGTTCCTTCAGGGTACCGGGGCCCATGTGACCCATTCGTTTGAAATCAGGGTTTTTCAACTCCCCTAGATGGACACTCCATCTCCACCGACCCGGTTAAGGCGCCGGACATTCGCTTTTCGCCATCTCGATTTCGCAAACAACACCCCTGCCACGAGAAGGCAGTGAGTAGGACTTCCCTGACAAAGACTATATACGCGTAGCCATGTGAGAGTATTTCGAGAGGGAGAGCGGACTCTCCCCACTCTCAGCCGTACCAGGGAATTCGGGGGCATCTCACAAAAAGAAACATGTTTTATTTCTTTTATTCTTATAATACTTAAAAATAGGGCCAGGATAGGTAAAAATTGTTTAATCTGATTTCCAGTTATATTCCGAAGGAATGCAGATTCGAAAGTCATATCAGGCCGCTAGACAATATAAGCTCTTGAGAATAACAGAACAAGGAAAAAACATGTTGGAGTGAAATAGACAAAGCGAAAAAGAATGTCTGAGTTCTTTTGTATTACTAAATACTCAGTATTGTATACCAATGTAACTAATTTCCCGTGATTACTATGTATGTGTTTTTAAATTTAGCTAGAGGATGTTAATCCGGTATATGAAAAATATTCTTTTATTCTTAAAATAATTGGAGATTTTAATGTTAATCAGACAAATGAATTAGACAAATGTGATATAGTTTTGATTTTAGGAGTACTGGAAACTGAGCTGTAAACTTCGACAAATTTAATGTTCCAATCAGGATAAACATATTTGGTCATATTGATAATGAACGAAAGAACAGTTAGTTTTTATGCAATATTTATGTCATATATTGATGTTAAATTGATTGTACATCACAACAATCAACAAAGTTAAGTAAACAACTCAGGAACAATTTGGAAGGAAAACACTAGATACTTTTATCAATCATACCTTTACTTAAATTAAATAATAAAAGAAATTTCAGCGAATATTAAAACGTTACAGACAAATAAGACATTGTGGATTTATAAATATGTTTTTCTAACATTATAAAACACAACGAAAGATTTCAACAATGTTTAAAAAAAATCAAACAAAACCCTTGGAAACACTTGATAAATAGTTAAATTATGCTGAGTTGTATGTTAGAAAGATTATGTATTTTATCTGTGATACAGAAAGGAAATGTTTAATCTTGTTTAGGTCTTGTCATTGTACCTCGATAGATAATCCCATCTCGTCCAGGATCCATATTCCAGATACCCCAAGAAACGCCCCATACAACTAGAATCAATGCTAAGCTAGTCCATAGTGTAATTTGAAATAATTCAGCATAATCATCTCTGATATCTGGAGCTAAATTGAGCTTCTGTACGATTGCGGGATCCTGAAAAACAAGCAAATAAAAAAAGACATGGACTTGGAGTACTAAGTGCTATTTACACATTGAAAGACAAATAACACAGTTGAATTTTCCTCATATACTTGATATTTCATATAGAATTTTAATAAAATACTAAATAAAAATAAACAAGTCTTCTAAGTAGCTTCACATATGTATGCTCAGTTAGTGAGGCTGCGTAGTTTATTCGCCTATTTTTCAAACAAAAATATCAGTAAATAATAATAAGGTATGATAGTAATGAGGTATAGCTATAATATAATCGGCTTTAAATAATACTATTTGTTTGTTAATAGCGCAAAGTGATTGCTAAAACCTGACATGCAAAGCTAAGTCAAATATACGGTAAAAAAAGTGGTTGAAAGATAAGTTACTAAACTATTAGCCCATTGCTCTAAGGCAGCAAAAAAGAAAGCATCTTCAAATGAATAGTAATCCAGGACAATAGTCGCTTTTTTAGAGAACAACTTCGAGGAGACAATATCAGAATGCAATGGAATCATGCCATAATAACACTTTGCAAAGATAAAGAGGAGACTAGTATATGCGGTATTCAAAAATTAAAAATACTTGATTAGTGTATATCGTTTACAATTGATCGACGACTTAGTAGTGACCATTGTCTCGACCACCTTGACTTGGTAATTTGAACAGTCAATAACAAACAGCTTTCATTAAAATTACGGAGAGAAAAGATAAAAGAATCACTGGGAAAATTTTATTGACAAAAATTTAAGATCATCATAAATTACAAAAGAAAGCGAACAAACAGATAAAGTTAAAAGATCTTAATTTTGTACATTGAATTATTAAAATATGGAGTAAATTTGTAAAAAAATGGGAAACAGTATGAACACTAAGCACAATGTACATGTAGGTATATCAATCTATGAAGGTTTATGTAAATGAGTCAATGATGAGAAAAAGAGTACATCTATAAAATTATCAAGAACCATATGTAGAAGAGATCGATAGAAATCAAATTGATAATTTATGTTTAGCCTCTTCGAAATAAAATAAAACTTAACGATAATATGTCATATAATTATGAGAGTAAGAAAGTAAATAGCATTCTATTTGGAATTGGATTTGATTAATATATTATTATTCTTACTAATTATCCCATCATTATTATTATCATGATCATCACTGACAATGTTAAACAGTAAGTTCTATGATGAATTCCATTTTCATACCGATAGATTGATTCAATTCAATTTGTTTAGTAAATGATTCAATTGAAGTTGGTGGAAAATTAATGAATATATTTGAAAATGGTACAATACACGATCCAATTATATCTAAATAGTGATATAGAGAGAGTAAGATGAAATTAATACAGTGATGCTTTATAAAGTGTCCATAGAATAAATGAACATATATTAAAAAATATAGATATTTATAATAGTACTATTACATACATAAATTATATTGAAAGTGTAATTAGTTAAAACAGCATAGGACTCAGGGTAAATTTGTGCATTGGCTCAACACAGCGAGATGACATCAATAAGGCGCATAGAAAAAAGAGGTCGGTATAATTGTGTATTGTGCCAGTAATCAAGAAAAAAAGATTAAATATATGAGAATATGATTTGTACAGAGGGAATGAATTTGTGGGATACAAATTACGATACTATGTTGAGATTGAATATCTACAAGAACACAAAGGATGAATGTATACGGCCTTCTGGGACTGACTTTGAGAAATGTCTTTACTGACTGATCAAGATTACTGTACAGATTTTAATCAACAAGATTATATGACTTAGTCCATGAGTTAATGAGTTTGTAGATTATTACTGTCTCTATATGATTTGGAGAAATAATTCAACAACTAAGTATAAATTTGTGAGCTAATGATATTATACGCACTAGGTGCAAATATTAAATGTGTGAACCAGCCAGATAAAATTCTACATTTGGTTTTTGCTACGAATTCTTAAAATATGTATTTCCAAACAGTTGCACTAAAATGCTTAATTCAGTGATGTTAATCAACGTCAATTACATTGAAAATCAAAGTTATTAATTTTAAACCAAAGAAGGTTGAAGATATTGATATAAGATGTGGAACAATAAAAATGCGGTCAGTACCAGTTACATAAGGAAAGAAATTTGTCAAAACAACACATAACACAAATGCATATGTAAATAAGTGTTAATGTATAATTGGATCACCTCATATTTAGCAAACGAATAAAAAAAAACAGGAAGTCATGGATTTACTAACTGATGGAAGTTATTTGTTCTATCAATCTACCTATCAAAAAAATCTCAATAAACTTTAAATTATTTACCAGCCAGGTATAGACTAGTTTTGAGTGTGAGAACCAGTGATACTATGCAGTTGGCGGAACCAAAATACATGTGGTAGGGTTTGAGCCCGTAACTGAGTATCTCCCGCGGTACGTTTGAAGTTTGCGCTACAATAACACGTTTTCTATTTTATATTGTTTGAATATCGTTGAATCCTAGTTTATAACTCATAAATAGCTTTAAAATCCATACTTAAAGCAGTATGGGTCGACTGTCAAAAAAACGGACCCGGAAAGGCCCTATTACTTCAGATAATAACAATTCTGTTATTACCTATTCCCCATGCTCTGCTACTCCTTTTGAAGCTGATAATGTTGGTAGTGGTCTTACACCACACCTGCTGCTGGATGACTCTCTAATTTAATAATGAGTTCCACCTCAAGATAAAAAAGTATCGATAATATTAAGAGTGAATTAAACACGACATGCGTTCTAAAGTTGAGTCACTTGCTAGCTCTTTATCAAAGCATAATGATCTGAAACAAGAAATAAAGACATTATCACCCCTTAAGCTGCCTCTGTCAAAAGATATCGTTCCTGTTATCGACTTTATCGCTAATGAAGTTACCAAGCAAATAGTCTCTCGTAATAACGTGATTGTCTATAATATACCTGACAGAATCCCCATTAAAACTGTAAGGAATTCGATATTAAAAGCATCTAACCTTCAAGACAGTCCATGCTAATGCATTCGACCTAATAAAAAGCACCAGAAATACTCGTGCCCGGTCTTGTTCAGATTCGACTCTCATATATTGGCTGAACAGTTAAAAGAATCCGAGCGGCTAGTCTGCGCGCTTAAGAAATTTAGAAACGCTCGTATAGTCTCAGATAAGACCACCAATCAAAGGCTTACGCAAAAACGTACCTTGAACGTAAATAAAGGTGTTGAGATCACAACAAACCACGATGCATCAGCTGCTGGATCGATTGATGCAGCTACCCTATCTCATGTTCTCCAGTACTCTGATATACCAACGAAGAGTGCTAATATGCCTGTTATGTCTGTAGTGAGATCTGATAGCCAATGTACATCTAATGACGCCACTAATCCGATATTACCAAGTTTACCGTTAGAAGCCCATAAGCAAGTACTTAGTTCTAATGCTAAAACTCTTAAAAACACTGTCAAGACTAAAAAACCTATGCCACGTAAGAAGAATGTAAGTACAGAACCTTCTGGTTCTAGACCCAATATCAAAAATATTACGATGACCCTACCAAATAAAAATAAGACTGTACTTCTCGACACCATGCTTTACCTTACGCATCGTAGAGGAGGTTATAAGGGCAGACTTGATTCAAATGTCTCACAAGATGGCCACTGCCATCATTATGTAAGCAGGCCTAGTATTGGACAGACCACAATGAACCAACGCACCCTACGGTTATCCTCAAACGTTTTAAATAACATACCTGTAAGACGTAACTATTCTCAGCACTTTCTCATTGGGCAAGATAGATTACTAGGTTACTCACCATCGACACAACCCCAACTGGCAGGTGCCTGTTTTAACTGTCCGCCTAGTCAAGTTCAATAAATTAATCCACTTTATCAAAATAATGAGTTTTTTGGCCTTCAGAAATCCCTGGTCCAACTAGCGATACAGTTTGTTCAAGCGATAGCCCATACGATCAGTCAAACATAATAAACCACAGTCTATGCAAATCCAAAATACATAACATCAATAGGGAAGCTCTCGGTTTTTTTACACTCCACACTCACTTTTTAAACTTATTACTTATCAATGCACGTTCACTTCTGAACGAAATTTCAGCCTTGAGAACATTAGCTTTTCTAGCCAAGCCTTCTTTCATACTTATCACTGAAACATGGTGCTCTCAAGCAGTATTTAATTCAGAATTAAATATCCAGAACTATCGACTCTATCGCTGCGACAGAGAAACTAAGCGAGGAGGTGGTTGCATTATATATGCTTTGGATACCCTAACAGCTAATAAAGTTGAAGATAGTGTCCTGAATAGTTTAATAGAATCAGTCTGCAATCAGCCAACACCCTGAATCATAAGTCTACACCTTGGATATATATACAGAGCTCCTGATAGTTCGAATAATGGGAATGATCTTATTATCAATGCATTCATACATGCATCTTCTCTCAACTTTAATGCTAAGGTTATCACTGGGGATTTCAATTATTCTGAGATCAACTGGAGTACCGGTAGTTGTCAGTCATGTAAGGATGAGTTTTCGGCAACCATTAACATGCACTGCTGGTCACAGTGGGTTCGTACCCCAACAAGAGGCGATAGTATACTCGATCTAATATTTAGTAGAGATGTTATCCCACCATCTGTGAAAGTATACGATGAATTTGAAAGCAGTGACCATAAGATAGTAGTTTGCGCTCTCCCTATCTATCCCTCTTATAACCGACCCATTCAAAAAGCCTGTCAATATAGAGACTATAAGCATGCTGACTGGGACCTCGACGAATTCTATCTGATTGTTAACTCTTGTTTAGATTTCTGTGTACCTCTTAAAACATACAGGTTTAGTAAACCTTACGAATTATATATACCAGCTAGATATCGTAACAAACTAAAACGCCTACAGAATCGTTATTTTAAGTCAAACGACTTCACAGCAGTTGCACAAATAAAAATAATTTTTAATAAAATTAAAGAGAAACATAGACTTAAAGCCATTAATGAGGAGCTGCTAGCACTTAATACTAACTCGAAAGTACAAAACATAACTTTCCTTTTCAATAAACGCACTAAAGCAACTCGAAATGTTGATATACTGTGCATCCAGCATAATAGCACTTTTATATAAGACTCTAAAACCATGGCCGACCTTTTCAGTAGTATATTCGCGAATGGTGTAGAAAACATAAGTGGCTATGCTTCAAGAGTTATGTGCGTGACTAGCAACCCAATAAAATCTATCTCCTTCACATGCATGAAAATTAATAAGGCTATAAATACCCTTAAGCTTTCTAGAGATCATGGAGTAAACGGGATTTCATCATTTCTCTACAAATATGGTGGTCCAGATATTCCACTTCTTCTTCTGAAGCTGTTTACTCTCTCTATAGAAACCGGTTCTTACCCTTACTGTTGGAAAACCGCGTACATCATATCACGTTACAAATCTGGAGATAAGACTGACATGAACAATTACCGGCCAATAAATATTACTCCAGTTATTTCTAGGATT